TGATGGTGTTGATTCTCAACTCCCCCCGGTGGCCTACCGCACAGCGTCTTTTCTCAAGCACAAGTTGGATGAAGGCAAGAGGAATTTCACCACATATTTGCACCGTTGGGCAGCCTCCGGTCAAAACGATCCGGACAGATTTGGGAGGTATGTCTCTAAACTCCCGAGCGGCGAATTTAGCGATTTGGGGATGTGCATGATGATTGTGCTTTCCGCTACTCAGAAAGGGACTCCTTATGACGACGGTGCCTTCACGAATCTATGTTGTAAGCTTATTCCGGGAGGGCGGGACGCTATGAAGGATCGAGGACTGACGGTACGAAAACTGAGGGACGACCGAGCTCTCTAGGCAAACGTAGAAGGAGCGGTCAACAAGAAAGTTTGAACGCGATGGAAACTTGGGTTTCCGAAATGGCTAGCTCCTATGTAGAGAGCAGAGCGGTAAACAAGCCGACCGCTCAAGAGGAGGTGTTGGAAAATTACAACAACACTTTGAAAAGATCAAGATACTGGATAAGGCGGAGAAGCTCTTGGCTGAGAGAAACGGTCAGTAATTCTACAGTATTTCATAATTTGAAGAAGCTTAAGAGAAAGGTAGGAAGGGATTTGTTACAGGAACTGGACGAGGGACAGTCTGGAGAGAACAAGGGTGATGCGGTAATTGATGTTGCCCCAGAGTCTCCGCGAATACTGTCTACAGTAGTGCTTTGGTACGCCGAAAGCGAAGCGAGCGCGTTTGGAACTTGGTGGGAAGTTGGGAAGGGCTTTTTACGTTTCCAGGAGGTTTCTAGCGTTGTACATCGATAAAGTTTACGATTCTACTTCAAGAAATTGCTTTTGCTCACAATCCTTCCATCGCGATCGTAAGGCTTTGTCCTCTGTGTGAGCAACAATCTGGACTCTTGCGCTTACCTCTATTTTCACCGCAACGAAGCGTCCTCGCCAATTCTGTTGTTGTAATCCTGCGAATTTACCGATTCTGTCTACTGCTTTTGCGACACGATGATGCACAAGAAGGTCTTTTATTATTCATGTTGATTCCTTGGCGCTCTTAATCTTCCACAGAGATACTGACCGTTTCATGAGGTCTTTCGGCTTCACTACCTGGCTCTTGATCGGTTTCGGTGTTCCACGCGTGGTAGGCAGTGATTTAAACGCGGAGAAACTGCCAGACGAAGAACGCAGACATCAAGAGCATGTCAAGCAACTTTAAAGCGCAGTGATCAAGGTCAAACGCGCAACATTGCGAGACGGACGACTCTTTCACATTACCACTCTAACAAAATACCAGTTGGGGGAAGGCCATCCTCCAAAAATCTTTTTTCTGATTCTCGCAAACTCCGCTACGGCGATGCATCTATAGCTGTTATTACTCAATGGAAATTTGGTAGTGGACATTAAAAGGAACTACAGAAGGCCTGCGTCGATTTTTCTGCTTAACTAAATCTACAAGCAGATCACGCTTCATGCAGCCACACTCCGCCCGGCTTAAAGCTCCTCTGGTTCGTCCTCCGGATTCCGCCCGTTGGCGGGGGTTGGACTTCTTCGTGCGTAGATGTACTGATATTGTGTGATTGTTAATATAGTTACACAATTTTTGTCTTGAAAATGACAGGCCAGGTTCAACTTTTACTCAATCTCTAGCGGAAGGGGCACAGAATCTGCGATAAACGGACTTCAACCAGTGGTATGACTTGTCGAATGAAGTTGCTGCGGCATCCTTCGAAAAAGGAGTGAGTAGATGACTGGGGAGTGTTCTTGAGAGAACAGGAACTAGGAATTGAAAAAGAAGTACTCGGTTGCAGCAGCGAAAAGGAAGAAGTCGGAAATGCACAAGAAACGATGAAAGATTGCTAAAAGTCGCTGGCGACAGTTTTAAGAACAAGACGGAACTTGAAACGGTGACAAAAACGCGTGGCAGCCGAGGAAGGAATGTAGATGGGTTGGGAAACTGAGAGACCGAAAACAGTTGGAAGGGGGATAGGTTTTGCGGGAAAACGGCTTGGTGTGTTGCATCGCCATATTCGTGTCCTCTTTTGGGTCAGGACAAACATGATGCCCGTGAAAACGGTCAAAGAACGGGTTTTGTCGACCATGGAGCAAGTGGGGGTAGGAGGGATGTGGTTCGAGAACCAGCCCGGTAGTACGGGCAATGGATATGGAGCGGCCTGGTGCATGACGTGCTGCGCTAAGATCCACTGATCCATTGCCCATGACTATGAAATGGTGCAGATCCAATCTTTCGCTGTGATGCCAATACGGCACCGCATAGTTTTCCCTTGTAATTAAAATAAGATTCTTACAAAACTACCGTCCATCCACGTCCAACATGCCAGTCCACGCAATACAGGGGGTACCCCGTTTTAGTGCACATACGTGCGAGGTCTCCAGATGTGCGCTATACCGGGATGTGCGCACCATTGAATAACAACAGAAAAGAGCCTTTAGAATGGTATTTATTGCTTTGGGCCCACTACTAGTCCTTTGTACAAACGTTATGCAGGACTATTTCGTTACGTAACGAAATAGTCCTGCATAGCGGACTGACGGCGTGGCTTTTTCTTGGATAGTGCTTTGAAAAGCAAGTTCTTGGCACCCCTTAAATGAAGCGCGTCTGTGGCTGCGGCACTTGCTTCAAATATAGAAAAAGAGTTTGCAATCTCTGCAAATGTAGCAGACACAGCCTTATTTCCACAAGTCCTAACAGTAGTCTCACCAGTAGATTCCTCATCTATATCTGTAGCAACATGAATCTCTTCGGTCAAGGCCGCTTCAACGTCCTCAATTACTTCTGCTTGTAAAGCCTCACGCACTTCCGAAATTGCCTCAACCCCCACCCATGAACGTGCACTCTTCGCCGTTAGGCTGCCAATCTCCGATGCTTCCCTTATGATATCAACATTTTTGCACTCTACAGTTTTCGCGCTCAAGGAAATACTGAGCATCCCGGAGATAAGTACGGCAGTGTCTGCTTCTACAGAGGTAATGTTGCTTTTTCCCACCAGGTTCCTCAGCTCGGCTTCCATAAAGGGAGGAAGTACCTGAGCTTTGACCCAGCAGCGTGCTGCAGTAGCAGATGATAAGTGTTGCTGATCTTCGCAATGTAACTCCGCTGCGTCTAAGATATGGGGAGGATGCCCCTCCATTACTCCCTTCGTCCCAGCAGGTAGGGACTTAATCCCCGCACAGAGAGTGTCTCGTTCTTCTAACAGTTCAACAACTTTCTCCAGTAGACTATACCTGTATTGAATCTTGACAGACGCAATTATGCCATAGTCCATGGGTTGATGAACCGAGGTACAGTTTGGAGGTAAGAAAAATATTTTCACCTGGCCAATGGGGTCAGTTAAATTTGTGCCATGGGAACTGGCATTGTCCAAGATCAGAGCCACATCCTGTGACGTCTTCTTCCTGATAGCTGGCAAGAACTCCCGCATAAACCATCGTTGACAGGTCATCCCATCATTCCATGCCTTCTTCTGAGCCAGGTAAGGCAGAGGGCACTTTCGGAGCTTAAATGCCCTGGGGTTCTGGGCATTCCCAATCACAGTATATGGCAGTATGTGTGAACCATCTGCATTGGTTGTTATTATCAGAGTGATACGATCTTTCGCCTTCATGCCCTTTATTCCACGGACTGTGTTGGTGTCTTCGCGGAAGACGTATGATTTGCGGGTAAACAAAAGATAGAACAGCCCAGTCTCGTCCATGTTGTAAATGTTTTCAAGCGAAAATGGCTGCAGATCCCTCCGAAGTTGCTTCATACCCAGCTCAATTTTCTTGTGGTCAACACTATCAGCCTGTCCATGTAGGGTTACACTCTTCAACTGGTGTCTCATAACAAAATTTGTGATCCAGTGCTCAGAAGTTGAAAACTTTTCGAGTGCCTTCTTCTCTGCGTCATCAGTGCTTTTTTCAAGCAGCTTGTCTGTGACTCTCAATGCTCTCACATGTAACACGTCCCTAGTGACTGGCAGGCCTGCCTTGCGAGCCATACTGAAAAATTGCAGAAGTGTATCCTCAATGAGGGTGAAATGACCGGTCTTGAAGGATTTACGACTGGCAATTCCAGAGTGTTCCATTGTCATTTTTCTGGGTCTTGGCGCATCTGACTTGATTTGGCTGCACTGTCTCCTGCTGATTTTGTACTTGTTCATGACAACTGCTTGCGATGCTCCTCGTAGCTCTTCAGAAATTAACAGCTTTGTTTTAACGTCGAGCCTAGTCTTGGATTTCTTGCCGGCCTCCTTATTAATTGTGCGAAATTCACGAAAATTGCCAAGGCGATCCTGCAAGCTTTCCCGTTTTGCTGAGGGAGAAGGCGCACCGGTTGTGTCAGTGGCTGAGGGTGTGGGCTCGGGAGCTGGATCGAGTGGTTCGGAATATTCGGGAAAAGCACATGGGGGGCAGATGAGGGGGCCGAATCTAACTCATTTGTTGGGGAAGAGCCACACCAACTGTGCCAGTGACCTTTGCACTTGATGCATTGGTGGTAATTTCCAATAGGGTCACGTTTTTCGCATGAGGGTTCCACACAGCGGTTGAGATGGGACGGTGAGCTCATTGCTGGTACTTCTTTGTTCTTGAAGGTGGCCGTAGAAGGGGCTCGAACTTTACTCGTTCTTGGCAATTTATAAAGAGAGAGCCCGATAGTGTACCAAATCGGGCTGCATATGCAGCCAAAAGAGCCGTTCTGTACTGTATCAGCTACAAAACATATGCATTGGAGCTGTTACAGCTGTTCTGTACTACAGTGCTGGCAAAAACTATAAGGCACCTGGTACTTTTGCATATTCCTAGAAATGTTTTTATGCTATCATAAAACCCTTTGCCTTATTGAAGGCCAATGAGGCGTTGATACTGCCCATGCAGTCATTGTTTAAAAAAATCTATGGTGGTGGACGCTATCGCGTCTTATTCCCCATACGCGTGGCAAAAACTATAAATACAGTTGCATACACAGAGGTCTAATGCGCTCGGAACTAGACAAAAAACAGTGTTTAATAGCATATCTTCTTCCCCTTGGCGTACACAACATCAACGCACCGCTTCTGCATAGATTCAGTAAGTTTTCGGACCGTATTGGGTGCAATATTTGCCCAAGGTTCCATGATACACTCAGTAAGAGACTCAATATCTTCAAATTGCCTCTGTTGCGCATAAACGGACCTCACGAGTATACCCCACAGATTCTCGATTGGATTCAGGTCTGGCGAGTACGCAGGCCACTCTAGCAGCGATATACCGTTGTCCGAGAGCCATTTTTTCGCCAGCAGTGAACGATGGCAAGGTGCGCCATCCTGCATAAACGTCCAAGTAATTGGTAGATCCTCCGCAAAAGGTAGCAGATGGTTCTCTAGAGTTGTCACGTACTTCGCTCCATCCTGCTTTCCTTCCATAAAAACAAGCTCTGATATCCTTGAACCGGCAAAGCATGCCCAAACCATAACACTCGAACCCCCATTTTGTCTCTTTGAAAACCACTCCTTCTCCTTTCTCAAGTCATGCCATTTATACGCCAAACCGTCTGGTTCATCCAAGTTGAACTTCTTTTCATCGGACCAGACGATTTGGGACCATTTTGCATTGCTCCACACCATTCGTGTCATCGCCCACTTGAGCCCAGATTTTTCATGACGCTCACGCATCGCTGGTGTCCGTGCAATTTGCTTGTATCGCAAATGCTCGGCTGCAGCGAGAACCTGGCGTACACGGCGAGCTTTGACACTCAGTTGCAATGCTTTCACAATCCCTGCTGACCCCAAATCTCCTTTGGAGCCTTTCCGTAAAATTCTTCGCTTATCAGCCTCCGTTAATTTTGGCGGCCTTCCTCCCGCATTTTTGCGATTGTACCGCTTTTGATCGCTCAAAAAGTTTGTAACAACTGTGCGGGATCGTCCCAGCTCGCGGGCAATAGCAGATAGGGAGATACAGTTGGAGTGATGGACAAGGATTTGTCCTTTTTCAAAAGTTGTGAGCCTTGTGTTTCGAGGCATGATTGTGCGTGTTTTGTTTTAGCTTGGGGAACCGCAGTGGCTCGTAGCAATGAAGAAGAGATAGTTTGCACTGTGTAAAGCTTTTTGGCGCGAAAGGAGCTCTTTGAGGGGTCTTTTGTTGCACGTGTATGCAACTGTATTTATAGTTTTTGCCACGCGTTTGGGGAATAAGACGCGATAGCGTCCACCACCATAGATTTTTTAAAAAAATAACTGCATGGGCAGTATCCACGCCTCATTGGCCTTCAATAAGGCAAAGGGTTTTATGATAGCATAAAAACTTTTCTAGGAATATGCAAAAGTACCAGGTGCCTTATAGTTTTTGCCAGCACTGTATATGCTACAAAGCATATGCTTTGTAGCTGTTACAGTACAGAACGGCTCTTTTATGTAACTGGCCCACCCCTCCCGTTGCCAAAAGGTACTGTTTAGATATTTATCATACTTTTTCGTGCACCCCGGACCTATGTGCGCAAAACCGCGTCATGCGTTAAATTGGTGTGCGCTAAAACGGGGCACCCCCTGTATCTAGAACGGGCCTGATGCAGATCGGTATCGGAACCCTTGCTCTGTAATACTCCTGAGGTGCCCTGCCGTAAAACCAAAAAGCATTGTGAGGAATGAAACTCGTGCCTAATTCTTGAGAAGTCGATTTCTGCAAAGTTCGTCGTATTTATTTCTCACAAGCTCTTGCGTACCGTCACTAGTATTGAAAGGTCGTTTGTGGCAGTACTGCACAGTAGCTGTAGTCGTGCCGGTGTTTTCGCGCTTTTATAGGGTACATGGACCTATTTTCTTCGCCGAGTGAAATGCGACAGGTATTGGTCACGTCTGCAGTGGTGTATTGTGTTGACGGGTGTAAGGTCGAGAACGTACTTGGCAGGGAGTCCGGTACAATTTGTTGGCGTTAACGCACCACCGATCGGGCCCAACCAAAGGAGCACTGCCGGAGTATAGAGACTGCGAAGATTTGTTTTCATCCTTCTTGTCTCATGTTCCCTATTGCGGTCCGCAAGCGGACTCAACTTGGCAATGTTTATAAGGCTGATGGCTGTGCGATGAGAAACACTAATTTAACAGCCGCCGATGCCTGCCGGCGACGCTCGCCGGCTTACACAGGCCACGGAGCAGGTATACGTGTGAGATATTTTTAGGGAAATATTTGCATTTTACTGTAGAGGGAGATTTTATTCTGTAGTCCGAAATTTTATTTGAATTTTAGAGAAGCGAACGCGGACGGCCCGGCGGAATCCGGGCCGGATGCGTGGACGCTTCTGGAAGGAATTTCGTAGAAATAAAAGAGAGAGGGGGACGGGCGCTGCGGGGAAGGGGGGACGAGACTCGGCCGACCCTCACCACGAACGACACGCTCCCCAGAACCGCCACCCCCATTTCACCGACAACATGGTACTCTTGTGGAGGGCCGATGCAGAGACAAGTGCGGGCCCTAACCCTGTTACCTACGATGGGTCGAACGGGTCAGATGTTTCCAAGTTTCTGTTCGTATACGAGAACATCATTATGCGCGGCAAGCCTGACGAGGAGAAGGCAGGAGATATCCTATGCCACCTCGAGGGTGCCGCGTTCGACTATTACTATGAAACGTATAGTCATAATGGGAGTCTGACCGAGGCCGCCAGTAACTGGGACGGTGTGAAGAGCGCCCTGTCTGACCGTTTTACGGAGACACCGAGGTCTGAAGAAAACATCCAGAAGGCTACGAGTTGCCGACTGGATGGTGGGAACTTGCTTACTTCGATGGATGAAATGGACAAGCTCTACAGGAGGGCTGGTTTCAATGACGAGGCAAAGCACGGCTTGCTTCGCAATGCCGTAATGGCACATTTGAATGTTGCTCAGTTTGCGATCTATCGTTCTCCGACGACGTACGAAGAACTGATGAAGACCGTGAACGACTTTGCTGCAGGCCGTGACGCCTTCAAGGCGGCGAAAACTGCTGCGCAGTCCGTTGAACCTGTGACTCCCAAGCGTGTATTGATGCGTTCTGATGGAGATCCTCGACAGGACAAGCTGGAGAACAAGGTAGAAGCCATCACCAACCAGCTGGCGGAACTGTCACTGATGATGAAGAAACGACAGACGCCACCAGGGGACAGTGATACGAGTTGGACATGTTCCTATTGCAAGGAAACAGGGCATTCAGCGACTCGTTGTCGTTCCAAACCACACCTTGATACTCGTTACCCAACATGTGGGAAGATTGGACACACGACGGAGACTTGCTGGTCCCGCTTTGCAAGAAAGAATGTGGCTCATGCACGTCCTCAAGGTAACGCTGGCGCAGGAAGCGTTTATGGCCCCAAAGCAGGCGGTTCTGCCAACGACGCCGGTGACAAGGCCACCAGAGACTCGAAGCAAGTCACGGTCATAACTGAGACCACCAAGTGAGAATTGGTGGCAGCTACGAAATGCAACGCCGAAGGAGAGGCCTTGCCGAAGCAGTCGAAGAACCGTGAAGAAGTTTCGATCCCGAGGCTGCTGAATCCCACTCCAGTAGCTCCTAGGGGAACTATCCCATGGAACGAGCCGCTGAGAGTGCCGAGAGTGAAGCCTGCACGCCAGAAGAAGAAGAATGTTTCAAAGAAGGCGGCACTCCAGGAGCACGTCGGCAAGTACAACGTCGTGTCAGAGCTGGCGAATGCGCCGTCTGGTCTAACATTTGGACAACTTGTCCGTGGAGACGCTGAAGGAGCAAGGAAAGAGATGAAGCGCCTTCTATCCAGGAGATTAGGGCGTTCTCGCGGGTTTGCGGGCCACACGGATGTCTTCCCAAGGCGTCTTCCGGTAGTTACTGTTCAAGTTTATGGAACTGATGCTCAAGCACTACTGGATTCGGGTGCGGTGCCGAACATCATGTCGCGGCACCTCATGAAGAGACTTTCTCTGACGCCAGAGAGTACGAAGAAACACATCACTGTGGCAGATGGGAAGAGCTCCCCTTGTGTTGGATCACTGCGCCAGGTCCCCGTCTCGTTTGGGGGACTGGTGAGCATGATGGACTTCCTTGTCGTTACGGGAACACCGTACGACGTCATCGTGGGGATGCCGTCGTTAGAGGAGCTCCAAACGTGCATTGATTTGGGGCAACAGCATGTCCAAGTGACTGTGGGTGCTGAGACGATTCGACTAAGTCTTGAGATGGATGAAGACCATAAGCAGCCGGGATCCGCTACCGACAGTGAGGACTTCACGTCAGACTCGGGGGCCGTGCCGGCTGACTCGACTGACACGGATGAAGACTTCGTCCTTTCGATGCGTGACAGGGTGCCGTTTGAACCAGACCTTGCCTGGGTGGGAGCAGTCACTGAGGACGAAGATCCTCATGCTGGACTTCCGGACCTAGCTGGGGAAGGCTCAGAGTACGAGCCGGCGGATGAGAAAGAGAAGAGATATGAGAAGGAGGAACTTCTCATGTCTAAGCTGAGCCATATCAGCAGAGAGAACGCCGACCGCATAATATGTTCTATCAAGAGTATGGGAATAGCTGCATGGTCTTTGGACGACCTCAGGCCGGCAGATGTCCCTGTGTCACATTCTTTTGAGTTAAATGACGACAGACCCATTTCGCACGCCGTTCGGAGGCTCCCTCCGAGACACAACGCGGTAGTGCGCGAGGAGATCGAGAAGATGTAGAAGGCAGGGATCATTACCCCCTCTGTAGCTCCTTGGTCGTTTCCGGTCGTCATCGCAACGAAGAAGGACGGGAAACCTCGCTTCTGTGTTGACTACCGCGTGCTTAACCGGTTGATGAAGGCCGACAAGTGGCCGTTGCCTAAAATGGAAGAGATATTCGACCTTGAGGGAAGCAAAGTATTCACTACCCTGGACATGTTCTCGGGTTATTGGCAAGTGCGGATGCCCTCATGGTGCAAAGAACAGACGACGTTTGTCTGTCGGTACGGGACGTTTCAATTTGAAGTGATGCCATTCGGGCTCATGAACGCTCCTTTAACATTTCAAAGGATGATGGATGGCGTATTCAGAGACCTGCCATTCGTCCGAGTATACCTTGATGACGTGGTTATCTTTTCAAAGTCCTTGGACGTCCATGTTGACCATTTAATTGAAGTGTTCGAGCTGATTGCTCGCAGTGGATTGAAGTTGAAGCTTGCGAAGTGTTCCTTCGCGCAATCACAGACCAGGCTATTGGGGCACGTCATCGGAAAGAAGGGGATTGAGGTGGATCCAGAGAAGACATTGATCATTTGGGACACCCCCGAGCTGCGCGCCAAGACGGAGTTACGAAGCTTCCTTGGGCTAGCGGGGTAATACCGCCGATTCATCCCTAAGTTCGCAGAAGTCTCCGCATCGTTGCATGCTGCTACTTCTACCAAAGTCGAATTTGAATTTACGGAAGGGATGCGGACCGCCTTCCAGGAGTTGAAGAAGAGGGTGACGTGTCCTCCGCTGTTGGCGCTCCCGAAGTTTGACGAACCCTTCGTGGTCGAGACAGATGCATCCAACATGGCAGTGGGAGCAGTTCTGGCTCAGAAGTGTGGTATAACCCCAAACGGAAATTAGATTAGAATTGGATCAGGGACAGTAAGGCAACGAGCCTTACAGCTATGCGCGCACACACGTGTCGTCCACGTGTACGGGACGCATACTACACGTGGACTGTCAGCCCCGCCGGCTGACAGCGTTACAGTGTCGGTAGACCGGCACTACTGTAGAGTTATGATAGACTACAATGTACATTAAATATGAGCGGACCGCCGGCGGTGGAGGACGACAAGCACGGACTTGTCAAGGATCCTCCACCTTGGTCCGCCCGCTTACTTTTAGGTACTTCCGTCCGTTTTACCTAGGAGTAGCACCGCGCGCGGGTTGAGGACGCGCGTAGCACGCCCACGAGCCGGCTCCGCCTCCGCCCGTCGGTACTGGATCGTCACCCAGTACCGCTCCGGGGCGTCGAGGCGTAGAACCGCTCGCGCGTGCGCGCGTCCTCACCGATCCCGCTCTACCACCGCTACCTCGAG